TGTGCGTCCAGCAGCACTGCACGCATGCATGCACACACATGCACACGCATGTGCATACGCACACGTGGGCATCGGGCAGCGACTCAGACGGCGCCGCTTTCACGGAAAATACCTCTCCTCGGCCCTCTGCCTCTCCTCCGCCTCCTTCTCCCGGCGCTTCTGCTCTTCCCGCTGCTGCTCCAGCTCCTGCAGCTTCTGCCTCTCCAGCTGCCGCTTCTTGATCGAGGCATCGCTCAGGTGCTTGGTCGAGTCGAAAGAAACCTTGAGGAGCAGAACAGAGAGCGCGGGGTTACCCGGAAGCCTTCCTGAGACACGAGGAAGCGGCGCCCATGCCAGGCAGGCGCTCACAGAATCCCGCCACCCTGGAGAAGGCGAGTCATGGCAACACGACCCCGCAGACGTTGTCTGAAGCCCCGCATCAGCGAGTGGCTGACCGGGGGAGGAGGCACCGACCCTGGGCGCATCTCACCCTCGCCACCTCTTAACACCATTCTCCCCTTGTGCTACGGGGGCCCCACTGTTCCCCGACGGTGCCACCACTCCACTGCCAGGGGACCTGTGCCCACGGTGACTGGGGTGCAAGCTGTCTGATGGCCCCCAGACCGGGCTCCTCTACCAGGTTGATGCCCTTGTCACTGCAAAGCCAAGGTGAGTCAGAGACGGCACCCAGAGGACGACGTCTCCGTCCTCGTCTAAAGGAATGTGGTTCCCCCACATTGTCCTTAAAATATGGGTTTTCTAAAAGCCAAAGTGGGGGCCGGCTGCCTTGCTCTCTCTGCCTCTGAAACTCTGTGGAACACAGGCTTGTCGTAATCTTGTCGACGTAATTTTGCTTTCCCCTGACTCCCACGCGGGCCGGAGCGCGGCTGCCACTCCGCGCCGGCAGGACGCCGGGTCTCACCTTGATGTTGCAGGCCACGGCCTTGCCGTCCTCGCCCTTGTACATGAGTTTCATGCCGCGGAGGGCGCTCATGGCCTGGATGAAGCCCACGTACTCGCGGTACTGGACGTACGCCTCGAAGTTCAGGTGCCCCCCGAAGCTGAAGGTGTGGAAGTTGCGTCCCGTCATCTCCTCGCGGTACGGGTCCAGCATGGGGATGTCCACGTTCCGGATCTCCCCAAACTTCTCGAACACCTTGACCAGGACGTCCTCGCTGGGTTTCTCCGAGCCCGACTCCTTCAGCGCGAACCACTTGCAGGGCAGCCCCTCCAGGTGGATGGTGTCCGGCCGCTCGCCCGGCAGCGTCTCGTTCATGTCCTTCGCGTCGCGGAAGAAGGAGTCCCAGTCGTGGCGCGTGGGGAAGTCGATCTTGAACTCGGCGGCCCGCACCTTGAGGATGTCGGAGAAGCCGCTGAGCTTGATGGTCTTGCCGTCCAGGCAGGCCAGGAAGGATTTGACCAGGCTCTTGTTCTCCACCTCGCCCTCGAAGCGGATGAAGTCCATGGTGCTCTTGGAGATGCGCAGCGTGGAGAACTGGTGGTTGTGCACCATGCCCTTCAGCCTCTCCATCACCTCCCAGTTGGAGATGGACTTCCCCGGCTGCTTCAGCTGCGGGAGGGCCACGCTGATGGTCATCTTCGTGATGGGCTTCAGGTAGAGGCCGTACGCGGGGCACAGCTCCACCGCCTCAGACGTGTCGTGGACTATGGTGGCCGCTGCCATAGCCGGGGCGTTGGGCCTGAAACGCAAGCACAGACGGTCAGCCTGGAGGGGCAGGGCGGTGTCCCTGTGCCGGCAGGCACGTCAGGCCAGGAGCGGAGGGACGAGTCTGCTCCTCTGCCGGGTCAGGGAAACTGGTCCCCACTTGTTAAAAGTCATCACCCGAGATATCAGTTTTTGTTTTTGTTTTTTTTAAATCATCAGATTACACTAAAGAAGGAAAAAAAACAGGTTGTCAAAAACTTTTAAGAACAGCTTAGTGCCCAGGCCTCGGTCAGCGCTGAGCCACCCCAATACCTAGAAGCAGCTCTCCGGGGACCAGGCTGAGCTGGGCTGGCTCCCTAACCCCCACCCTGGGGTAGCAGGGAGAGGCAAGGAGGAAGCGCCCGGCTACACTGAAAGCCAGGACTGGCCCACGGGGGAAGGGTTGGCGGGAAAGAGACCTCGGCTCCAGGACAGGGGAGGGTGCGCGAAGGAGGCGGCCTCGTGTGCGAACTGACCACACAGAGAGGGAGTCTCAGGCTGAGACTGACAACTTTAGCATCTCCACCACGGGCCCGACTCAAAAAGAAAAGGTGCAGGGCCAAAGCGTGGGGCTCCGAGGGCCCCATGTGTGCACCCTCTCCCCCCCACCCCAGCTTCTCCGAGGCAGGTCTCCCCCACTGCTCTGATGGAACCCAGGCGGTACAGGCCGCTGTGACCCCGCCGCCCGCCCACCAGCTCAGGGAAGACTTCTCGCCAGGCCCGGGAGGCACAGCCCAGAGAAGGGCAGGCTGCCAGGCCAGAAGGTCCAAAGAGGACGGGAGAGCCACTTGAGTGGGTCTGGGGCACAGGAGGGGGGCTGTGGCCTGGGCTGGGACCAGACACCGCCCCCCAGGACCCCGAGGGCTGCATGGGGAGCCTGAGCCAGAAAACAGGCAGCCCCACCTGTGGCCAGTAACCCTGGGACTCCCAGCTTCCCTGGTTGCCTGGCAACCGGTCTCCCCAGTAACGCGCTTGGCCCATCGGCTGCCCCCGGCACCATACCCCAGGCCCCCTCCAGCTCCCTCTGGCCCCCAACTCCAGCCTCCCCAGCTCCCCAAGCTGCCCCACTGTCACATCGGTATCCCATACACCCCCATTACGCTCAATACCCACAGCCCCCCATACAGCACGTTACCTCCGCCCACTGTTGCCCAGACACCTCTGGAACGGCCCCCAGACCCCAGAAGCGGCCTCCCTGGTACCCTCAGTGTCGCTGGCCACCCCTGGGCCTCTCCCCCAGCCCCTCAGAACCTGGGACCCCTGGCTCCTCGCAGACTCTGACCCGCAGTACTCCTAGCCCCCTAGTACTCCCCGCCCCTCGCACCCCCAGCCTCTCCAATCTGTTCTCAATACCCTCAGCGCCCTGGTACGCCCATCCCTGGTCCCCCAGAATCTCCAGGCCACCCGACACCCCTAACCCCAGGACTCTGCCTCCTGCAGACCCAGGCCCCCAGACCTCAGTGCCCCCCCACTAGCCCTGCAGACTCCAGTGCCCGAAAAAACCCAGACCTCCAGGCCCACCAGACCCGAGTCCCCCAAGAAGTCAGACCTCCAGGCCCACCAGACCCAAGTCCCCCCAAGAAGTCAGACCTCCAGGCCCCCCAGAACCAGGTACCCATAGACTCAAGGACCCCACCCTCAGGCCCCTAGACTCAAGCTCCCTCAAAGAACACAGATCTCCAGGCCCCCCAGAACCCTGTCCCCA